CTGGCCTGCAGTCAATTCCATGAGTTCCCAGTGGCTCTTCAGTGAACGCCCTTTGCTGAGTTAGCTGGAATGGATATCTGTTGCCACCAGAGGACCCTAAGTGGGTTTGTTTTTGTTTTTGTTTTTCCCCCCCGCGTCACGGCTTGTGGGATCTTAGTTCCCTGACCAGGGACCAAACCTGTTTTCCCCTGCAGTGAAAGCATGGAGTCCTAACCACTGGACCTCCAGGGACTTCCCCAAGCCCTAAGTGTTGGAGTGGCGCCCATGATCTCCATTAGCAGTGTGGTGTGAGGGCAGGACGGCACCAGAGCTGGTGAGGCTGCAGGAGAGGCTCTAGAGACACCCCTCTCATTTGGGGAAGAGTTTGAGACCAAATTCAGATTTGGAAGAAGATGGAGAAAGCATGCCGGGCCAGCCAGAAACCAGAGGGACAGAAGAGAAAACACTGTCAGCCAAGAACCTGGATGCAGCTGGAAAGCGAGAAGTCATATCTCTACTTTGCTGGGTTCATCCATTGTTATATTTTTATGTTTTGCTTTTTAAAAATTCTTTTGACTATTTTAGATGATCTTAAGGGAATGAAGAGTGGAGAGAGACAGGGGAGGGTTTGGTCCATTCTGAGGCCATCACAGCTAGAGGGGTCGTCCAGGAAACCTGGTGGGGCATTTCAGATATGACGGGAGCAGGGCTGTAGGTAGATTTATCTAGCGGAGCAATGATACGTGGTCTGGATTGAGTGGGAAGGAACAGGACAGAAAGAAAACAATACGAGAGGTGATTTTGAGGGGTCCTTCTTTGCTGAGGTTGGGAGAAGGCTGAGTCTGGGAGAGCAGCCTGAGGATGTAGAGGGCAGAGGTGCGCTTTCTGTGTCATCACCATGGTGCAGCTCCACCTGGTACATGCGGCTCCCACGTAACCACATGTATGTAACGGTCATACGTGTGTCACTAGGAGAACTGTACACACAAGTGTGAAGGAGCGGGGAGAAGAATGAATCAACGACCACTTGAAAGTTTAGAAAGATCAGCTCCCAGGAGAATTATTGACAGAAATTGGTCCCTGGTTTGGAGGAGGAAGATCATAAACTGAATGAGAGGCAGTAGGATACTCCCTATGAAAATATCCAAGGGATTATTGTTCATTTTGTTGGCTGTGTAATATGATTGTAGTTATGTTAAAGAGAAAGGTCTTTATCTGCATCCAGTGAATTTTGTATGGATGAAAGAGATTAATGTGGGGCTTTAAAATCCTCCAACAAACAAACAAGCGAGAAGTTTGCTTGGGATAAACAGGCCAAACACCTTTTTCGTGAATCTTCTCTTTTCTCTGCACCTCAGTTCCCTAAAGGGCACCATCAGCTGAAAACCCGGGCGTTCCTCCCAACCCTCTCACTCTCTCTGCCCAGTGGGCTGCAAAGTCCTGTGCATCCTCCTGAAATCCCTTAAATGTTTCTGCTGACACCACCTTAGTCTAGCCCTCATCAGATCTCATCTGACATACTGCAGTCGCTTTCACTCATTCACTCGCCCCTCGCCTGCTCCAGTCGGATCCGTCTTCCTCATTAGAATCGGGGTCCCCGGTTGGACGAGTAGATGGACCCCGAGAAGTGCGTGTACTGGCCAGCGTGCAGACGATGGCTTAGAAGACCCAGCAGAGACATGAAGGCCACGCAGCTGGTACGGAAAGCCCAGGTCTGCCCGGGGTGAACTTCGTGCCGCTCCTGTTGCATCAAGCTACCAGCCGGCGAGGTGGTTTTTAAGTCATTCCAGGCAAAAGGACCCAGTTGACCTAGCTGTGTAATGAGCACCGTGGATCTGAGGCACCAGATCCTAATGCTGTAGCCCATTTGAGTAGTGACTTAGGTACAATCGGTGGGGTATGTGGGGAAGATAACACGTGTACGTTTTTGCTGTTCTCATTGTAAATAGAGCCTGTCTTCTAGAGAGCAGCCTGGAAATACATGAGTTTCAAAATAACGTCTGTTCTTAGATTGGATCATCATCCCTTTGAGGTGTTATTCTGTAACAAATCGTGGTAGAGGCACGTGTTCAAAGCGGAAGTACAACCCCCCGTTCCTCCCTCCAGACCTTCCTTCCATGGTTTCTCCCGTGTCGGCTGAAGGCAACTTCCCTTTGCAGTTTCTCACTCAGAATCCCTCGGCCTTGGCCTTACTTTCAAAACCCATCTGACCACTTCCCACCGTCCCACGTCCTCCGTGCTCTGTCCTTTGGCATCTCTGCCTGGGTCACTCCAGTATCCACCTTTGCCCTCTGACAGACTTATTTTCGGCACAGCAGTCAGATGGATTCTTTCAGACTGTGAGCCATGTTTATTTATTTCTCTGCTCAGAACTCTCCAGTCACGCCCTCCTCACTTGGGAGAGAAGCTGCAGTTGTGTAGCAGCTGCCGTAGGTTCAGGTTGCTTGTCTGTATCTCAGCTCATCTTGTCCTCCCCTGTGCTCAGCCACTGAGCAGCACACGCCTCCTTGTTCCTGAGCCGGGCCAGGCCCAGGTCTGCCTCAGGACCTTTGCACTCATTGTTCCCTCTGTGTGGAACTCTTCCCCAGATGAGCATGTGGTTTGCTCCCTTAGTTTCCTCTGGTTTCTACTCTGACGTTACCTTATCAATGCAGCCTTCCCCGGACACCTGAAATATCGACTGGAAACACCCCGGTGCCTTCCTACCCTCGGAGTCCTCCCTCCCCCTCCTCCTAGCCTGATAGCCCAAAGGAGTGACTGAGGGAGTTTCAGCTTTTGGCAAACAGTTCCACTCTCATAATCTCAGAAACAGTCTCAAGGACATTGCCTGAATGATGAGTGTCTTTAAACTCTTACTCAGCAATGCACCAAGTAGGCGGCATCACCCAGGTCAGACGCTTCATCCAGGGTCTT